TAAAGTTGGAAACAAGTATTAAATCTTCTAATTAAAGGCTTATAATTTGGTAACCATTAAATGATTGATAAGCCATCAGTGCCTGAAGTATTAGATCTAAGAATTTCTCAGTGGAATAGTGGGTCTCTTTGTTATCATTTCATAACCTTTAGTGGTGAAGAGAACAAGAAACGTTAAAAGAAATTTCACCCTTTCTTTGCCTGTTTTCCTCTCACAAGAGAGTACTTTCTGTAAGTCCTACCTTCAGTGTTAGGTAGGGGATCTTAGCTGGGACTGGAATTGTATTAGTCTGACAAACCTAAAATTTATTAAATAATTTGAAAGTCTGAACTGTTTGGCGCATTCTGAAGATGTGTATAATAGGTAAAGTTGCTTCTTGGTTTTCCTAGTGAAATTCCTTGCTAAAATTTTTAAAACATTTTTTGGGGCAGGGGGTACTGGGATAGAATCCCAGGATGCTTTACCACTGAGCTACATCCACAGCCCTTTTTTATTTTTTATTTTGAGAGAAGGTATATACTAAGTTGCTTAGGGCCTCACTAAGTTGTTGAACTTGCTATCTTCTTGCCTCAGCTTCCTGGGATTACAGGTGTGTGCCACCACACCTGGCTTGCTAAAACATTAAAATGTAAAACTTCAGACCCTCTAATATCCTCTGTCATAATGTATAAATCAGAAAAGAGCTATCATGTTATTGATGGGCTTGTCAATGTAGGATCCTAAGAAAGGATCCTCTAGCTTTTCAGGGCAAAAGAGTTCTATAAAATCCTTTTATAAAGAATTTACAGCTCAGTTCTAGGAATCTAGCTCATCTTGAGAAGGGCTTGCAATCATGTTGCCTTTAATAAATATATTTAGAAAAAGTACTTTGATCCTTTTCCTTCCAAATTGAAAGTTAGTTATTTAGCTTTAGGAAGCATGACTGATATAAGACCTTGAGGCTCTCTAGAGCATTATCTTCATGGAATGATGGAACGACTTGGTAGATGATCAAAAAAAGATTCAATTTGTCACTCATATCTCAGGTCTAAAACAAACAAGGCCATGGACTAAAAAGAAATCAAATGAATTCTACCTCTTAAAAATACCAACTAGTTTAAAAGAAAATCTGTTAACTGGTTTCTTTTCCATCTGTGAATTGTTTGATCTGTTACAAAAAATACCTATAATTGTTGTAGAACAAACAACACGCCCCATCCCCTCTGTGGGGATGAGCCCAGGTCCTCAGAGTGCTGGGCTAGCACTCTACTACTGAGCTATAACCCCAGCCGCTATAGGAGAAATTCTAAGGAAAAAAAGCAAAAAAGAATACTGTGTCTTTAGAGAGAGAACTTTGTAAAACTAGAATAAGACAGTTCTTGGTTATGTGGGTAATTAGTATAATGAAGCAGAGTGGGTCGGGTATTGTGAAGATGTTGGGCATAAAACTTGGAGTTAGCTCTGATTTTTCCATCATGGCTGAAGGTTCTAGCACACAACTGATATTTATTGGGGCCTTAGGGGTTTTACATATCAAACTGGATTATTTTAAGTGATTCAGGTCCAATTTTATTTTGTGTGTTTCTTTAGCCAATCTTTTAATCATGTGTTGGCTAACAGGAAAGCTTTTGTTTGTTTATTAAGTTCTTTCTGTGTCAAACTTTAGCTGTTAGAAGTTGTGGGAGACACAAAAAAGTAAAGCATGGCCTCTTTCTTCAAGGAGTTAATGATCTCATTAATGATATAAGAATAAGCATATTAAAAGCTCAGAAGTCTAATTATGTAAGTGCTGAATGAGTGATTAGCACAGTAAATATCATTAAAAAAATTGAAGGACAAAGAGACTATTGGGAACTGAAGTAGTTGGGAAATGCAGCCAAAGTAATTTTTCTCAAATACAAATCTGACCTCTTATTCTGCTATTTAAAACCTTTCAGTTCTTCCTTTTATGTATAGGATACAGTTTGGGCTCCTTATCTAGACATAAAAGGTCAACATTTGGCTCATGTCATCCTACCTAGTTTTGAGTCTCATCAACTACTTAATATCTCCACTTCAACCGTCCTTACTTCTGTGCAGTTTTCTGAACATAGCTCTTTGTCTCCATGAATTTGTATTATATGTAATTTCATGTAGTAACTTTATCCTCTTTATCCTTGCCCTTCTTTTTCTGGTTAACTTTTTTTTGGGGGGGTACCAGGGATTTAACCTAGGGGACATTAACCGTTGAGCCACATCCCTGGCCATTTGTTTATTTTTTATTGTGAGACAGGGTCTCCCTAAGTTGCTAAGGCTCATCTCTAAATTGCAATCCTCCTGCCTCTACCTCCTGAGATTCCTGGATAGTCATTTTTTATGATTAGTTAGAGTAACTCCTAGGAAACTTTCACTAGCTCTTTTCACTAGTCATTTCTCTTTCCTACTCAGGTACGCCAAACCACACTCTGTGCTTACCTATTATAACCCTTATCAGGTGGCATTGAAGCATTTCTTTCTTTTGTTATACTTATCATCTCTTTTGAAATATAGAAATTATGATGTAATATTTCTGTAACCAGAGTCTAAGGGAACTATTTTCAGTCTACCAGTCTTCCAGCTGAGCTATTTTTGTCAACTCTTGGGATCTTTTGTAATAAAGATTTATCCAAAGGATAAATGAATGAATGAAGAAGTTGGATAAGTAGCATTGGGAGAGGCGGGGAGGAAGAGAAATAATATGTCATGCACGGAAAATAAATAGTATGAGTGTCCAGTATTTAGATGAGACCAGTTGCAAGCTGGTTCTGATTCAGTCTGGAGTTGAAATGGGCCTGAAAAGGATTATGATGAAATCAGATAACTTAATCAGCATCTAAAAAGATAAAAATAGGTTGGCATGATTGGTTAAATCTAATAAGAATCTTGGCTTCAAGTACTTGAAAACCTATTAAGTGAAAAATAATTAGACTTAAAGTCCTAACAGTCTCAAATGAGAGCCAGTAGGTAAAATTTATAAGGAAGACAATTATGCCACTTTATAAAACTAATAAATTGGTATATTGCTTTACAAGGTAGTAGATTCTCCACTATCTCAAGAATATTATAGATAAATGTAAGATTTGGACAGACCTTTCAACCCTGAATGCAAGATTCTTTGTTGTTGAAGGGATTCATGTTATCAGCAAGGAATTAAACTGGATAACTTGTAATGTCCATCTCATATTTCTGTGGTCCATAGTAGGAAGAGAATTGTTCCTTGCATAACAGTGAAGGATTCAAAGTAAAGATAAAAAACCAAAGACAAAATTGAGGAAGTGCTTACCGATTGGTTACAAACTGAGCAAAATAGGTGGATAAGTGAATTCACCGGGGTTGGAGAGAGTGTGTTGGCGCTGTTTGGAAATGGTGCTATGTGCCTTTTAACTAGGAAATCTGTAAGAAGAGAATGGCTGGGCAGTAGGGAGAAAGAACCTCGCTAACGTTTGTGTGAATAACCAGTAAACCAGATTTATATACTGCTGCAGATTTCTTCTGAAATGTTCTCTGACTTGGGAAAGAAATGAAAGAATCAAGCAATGGCGGTAATTCAAGTTTGAAGGTTGTTATCATGAACGTGAGAGCTCCTGGTGAGAGCAGCTTTGAGTGGCTAGCCATGCTGTCTAGCACAGACTGGATAACCACAGAAGTTTTCAATGAAGGGTAGAGTAAGGATGGAGTGACTGAAGATGAGAATGGGGGAATAAGAGATTGATAAAGGCGACTGCTGCTTAATAGTTATGTTTGGAGAAGGATAAGGCTTAGAGCATGGCAGTGTGGTGGCTGGATGTGAATTACAGATCAAATTCAGTGTAGCCATGTATGCTTGGATGCATTGTCAGCCTGTGTGTGATGTTTATATGGAAATAAAAAATGTGAAACAAGTTGTCAAGGAAGGTTAAGGTGGATTTCCTGTAAAGAAGGGGATGGGCAAGAGGAAGTGACCAACGACACCAAGGGTGATTTGAACAAGATGGTATAGGGGATGGTGTGAGTTTCAAAAAGTAGAAAAGGAACAGGGCTAATGGCTCAGTGTTCTGAAAGTGGCTCTGGGGAATTGGGGTGGGAGAAAATGAGTCCTTAGCAGGACAGCCTCTGTGGAGCAGTCATTGTCAAATATTGACAGTCATATTTTTATTAAAGAGGTGAAAAAATGAGAAAGGGGGAGTTTGCCTCTGTAAGACTTATGAGAAGAGTCAACATACCTTATATATAATCAGAGAAATGATAAATTATGATATAATGGTGTATTAAGAATTGTAAAGCAAAAATAAATAAATAAATATCACCCCCCCCCCCAAAAAAAAAAAGAAGAAAGGGAGGGAAGAGATGGGCAAGGAAAAGTTGGCTGCTTGTAGTGGTTGGTGAGGGAAGTGGAATGGAGGAAGTACTGGGGTAGGGGAGAGAGGCAGTACAGCCTTGCTCAGGCAGATTGATGTGTGACAAGGAAGTTTTTTTTTTTGTACTGGGGATTGAGCTCAGGAGCACTTAACCACTGAGCTGCTTCACCACTGAGCCGCATCCCCAGCCCTTCTTTGTATTTCATTTACAGACAGGGTCTCACTAAGCTGTTAAGTGCCTTGCTAGTTGCTGAGGCTGGCTTTGAACTTTTGATCCTTCTGCCTCAGCCTCCTGAGTCGCTGGGATTACAGGCATGCGCCCCCAAACCTGGCTGAAGAGTAAGATTTAACCACTGCAGTGTAATATCCCACTCTACCCCTTCTTTTGGTGGTATTCACAGCTTTGGCCTTCTGGGACTTATTGAGGGAATCATTCTGTTCCCTGCTCAAGTGGATTTTGAGATAAGTGATTCTGTCTAAAATCAATAACATGGTCAGGACCAAAGAGGAAGGCCAAGCATTCCTAACAAGAAGGCACCATCTCATGGTTCTGTGGGTAAAGTCAACTCTCTTATGTGGTCCTGGAACCAGAGTGTGAGCAAAGCAGGGGTGTGAGAACTTGTTGATTGCATGGTACTAAATCAGTGTCTTTTGTTTGCTTTGCAGATGAGCGGGACCGGGTTCAGAAGAAAACATTCACCAAATGGGTCAATAAGCACTTGATGAAGGTAGGACTCCATGTCTGTATGCTGCCTTAGCACCTCAAACTGTTCTTGAGCTGCATCTATCTTTCTCTCAGATGATTCAGATTGCTCACTGTGTGCTTGGGTCCATGAAGATTCACATGTGACAGACTAACTCCCTCCTCCCCTCCCTCCCTCCGTCACCCACCTTCCTTGTCCCCTCCCTCCTTCCCTCCCTCTCTTACTCCCTTCCTCCTCCTTAGTCATAACAGTGTGAGAACAGTAGCATTACATGCTATTACCTCAGAAGACTGTGATGGAGGATACCAGGTGATGATTCCTGGGATTCTAAGAACACTTTGCTCCTAACTTTAAAAATTATTTTATAAACCCTTTTCTTTATTTTTAAAGCTGATTACTATGTAAGGATGGGACAGAAGGGACTTTGTTTTCTCTCTAAAGTATATAAATCGTAAATGTTCCATTGATGGATTTTTATAAGAATTTTACCACCCTGTAAATCAAGATATAGAACATTCCCAGAATGACTAGAGTTGAGAAGATTTTATTATTAAAATCAAGGCAGAGGGCTGGGGTTGTGACTCAGTGGTAAAGAGCTTACCTAGCACATGTGAGGCACTGGGTTCAATCCTCAGCACCACATAAAAATAAACAAACAAATAAATAAATAAAGTTATTTAAAAAATCAAGGCAGAGACACTGTGGTGGCAGTAGGATCTGAAAATAAAATTTGTGAGTTCTAATAATTCCCACTGCTGGGAAGGGTCAGAAGTGATCTCTTAATTGCCAAATCTAGTGGCCAAATTTTATCTTCCTCTTATTTGATTTCTCTTTAGCACTGGACACTGTTGTCTATCCCTTGAAACCTTCTCTTATATATTGACTTCTAGGACATTGCTTTTTCCTGAATTTCCTCCTCCCTGTGTGAATGCCTTTTTTCTGCTTCTTTCACTGGCTTTATTCATCTCTGACTTCCATTTGCTGGTCCCCAGAGTCCTAACTTTGACCATTTTCTTGTTTTGTTCTCTGTATTCTTAAGCAGTCTCATCTGTTTTAGTCATAGGGATATTTTGATTGCTGGAATGCAAAGAAGCACAAGTCAAAGTGGATATAGGATGATCTCTTAGAGTCTGATGTCTAGATGCAATGGAACTTTATGAAACCAAAATTTGCCGGCAGCTCCTCTCTGTCTCTTTTTGGGGGTCCCCTGCATTCATTTCTCTCACTGCTCATTTGTGGTGAGCTGTGATAAGATACATCCCTGAAGTGGCATGGTCCTAAAGGCACAAACAGAAAATCTGATTGGTTGGGGGTTTCTTTTCCTCCTTGGGTCGGTGGTCTTCCTGTAGTTCAGTAAACTCTGGCCCAGGAGATGGTTACATACACTTGTTTAGTGGGCCCTGAAAATAAAAGTCTTTAGACTTTAGTTTCAAACTGAAAGACCTGGATAAAGAGGCAACTAGAGAGCCTTTTCCTGTATTCTTGTCCAATCCAAAGACGTGTATTTCTCACAGTGTACTTGACACATGCATCTGGATGTTACTCAGGCATACCTTATATTTGACACATCCTAAATTGTTAAATATTTTCATTCATGTACCTAGATTCCCAAGTTAGGAATGCAGAATCATATTTGATTTAATACTGTCAATAATCTCTCCCTTTTTGCCGAATCTAATCACCATCAACTTGGAAAGATAGCTTACATTGTCTTTTCTTCTCCATATTCATCACCTCTGCTCTTGTCCAGGGCTTCTTTATCTCTTGTCTTGACTATCATAATAGTTTTCTAACTAAGTGTTCTATAATGATAATAGTAGTAATAGTTTATAGAGGGCTTCCTGCAAGTTAGACTTTGCTATTTTTGGTACCAGGGATTGAACTCAGGGGCACTCAACCACTGACCCACATCCCCAGCCCTATTTTGTATTTTATTTAGAGACAGGGTCTCACTGAGTTGCTTAATGCCTTGCTGTTGCTGAGGATGGCTTTGAACTCGCGATCCTCCTATCTCAGCCTCCCAAGCTGCTGGGATTACAGGTGTGCACCACCACGCCCAGCTCAAATCAGATATTTTATACCAAGTCCTTTATGTGAATTATCTCATTTAATACTTCAGTGACCTTCTTCTATAGGTTCTATTAACACCCCCCCTTTTATCTGTGAGGAAAGTGAAGTTGAATACAACTTATTTAAGGCCATGCTGCTAGACAGAGGCACACTGAAATTTACAATTCACACAGCCCAAAGTCTGTAACATGTGTTCTTAACCTGCAATGCCTGGCTCTGCCTACCTTTCCAGGCTCATAGTGCCAAATTCCCCTCATTCCTTAAGCTTTTGCTGAACTATGTATAGGCATGCTGTTTAATGGCTCTGTATCTTTGTTCGGCTTCTCTCTCTGCTTGGAATACATTTCCAAAGTCTATTCTGACCGTATAACACTAACTTAACACCTCCTCAAATAGTTTGGTGACCCTACATGTGGGATCTACTACCCTTTTCTTTGTATACTTATGCATGTTCCTTATGTACTTCTGTTACAGCTTTTTTTTTTTTTTTTCCCCCTTTAATGGTGCTAGGGATTGAACCCAGGGCCTTATACATGCTAGGCAAGCACTCAACCAACTGAGCTATATCTCCAGCCCCTGTTATAGCTTTTTATATACATTATATCTTTTTGCCAGATTGTAATCGGAAGGCACACATTATATCTTATTTTTATACTTTCAGGACAAAGAAGGAGAAAGAGGGGGAAAATGTCTGTTCCGCTCTGTAAATTGCTTCAGTGGCTACCAGTTGCCTCTAGTTGATGGTACCTAACTCTGTTACTATGCAGAACTCTTCACAACCTGTTCCCACCTACCTATTCAGTTTTATTTCCAAGTAGATTTCCCTGTGTAGCCTGTACTCTAGCCAAAGGGACAATTCAATGCTCCTTAAACCTTATGTACTTTCACACCTCTTTGTTTATTTCTCTCTCCTTAGAATTCACTTACCAGCCTCTCCTGCTGGCCATTGCCCATTTACCCTTTAAGGATGAGCTCCAGTATAACCTTCCAGAGACTCTGACTTCCATCTCTTAGCCTGTTTTAATTGCAATTCCATCTCTGTTCCATGGCATTTGAAGAAATGCTTGTGTGTTCGCCTATCCATCTCCTCTTTTAGAGTGTTTATGGAGGGTTGGGGCAGTATTATACTATTTTCTCTGTCAAGTACTACGCTATGAGAAGTACCCAGTAATTATTTGTTGACTTGAATAAATAACATTTTGATAGTACAATGGATCTGACTTGATCCTTCAATAATCCCAAAGAAGATAAAAATATTGCTGGGTGTGGTGGCACATACCTGTATTCCCAGCAGTTTAGTAGGCTGAGGCAGGAGGATCTTGAATTCCAAGCTACCCTCAGCAACTTAGTGAGGCCCTAAGCAACTTAGTGAGACTCTGTCTCAGAATAAAAAGAGCTGGAGATGTGGCTTAGTGGTTAAGCACCCCTGGGTTCAATTTATATATATATATATGAGAGAGAGAGTGTGTGCGTGTTTGTGTGTGTGTGTGATATATATATCACACACACACATATATGTGTGTGTATATATATATATATATATACATGTGAAAACAGTATAAAATACTTTTATCTTGTGTGTGTATACGTATATATATATATTATAGTATACACACACACACACGCACGATAAAAGTATTTTATACTCTCAGTTTTCACAACTAAGGAGAGTGAGAATTAGCGAAGTGAAGTGACTTTTCCAAGATCATACAACTAGTGAGGTGTGGAGCTAAAGCTCAATCATGAATCTTCCAATCAGAATCAAAATCAATAGGTTATTCTACTAAACATTCCCCCACTTAACTCTCCTTTCATACCTAACAATTGGGAGAACTGAACTGATCCTGCCTTAAGCTTGTTCCCTAAACATTGTAGTTGAATTCAAATGCTCTGACTTCCTGCTGCTCATTTGTAGCTGGTGCTGCCTGTTGGGCCTCTGCCTCAGTGCTGTGTGTTGACAGGAGGCCCTGGGAAAGGAAAAGCTGGAGGAACACATCATAGCTTTGTTAGAAATTGGAGGCCAGCCAGAGCTTTACTTAAACCCTTGGCTATTTTTCATCTCTTCTCAGGCTGGCAGCCTTACAATTCCAATAGTATTTTTTCATTTTGGGAATTTTAGAAAGAGGTTCACTGCTAATCAGAATCATTGCTCTAAGTTGGAATTCTTTGAATTAAGGAACTGAGAATTAGAGATCAAGATCTGTTTTTTGCAACTTGGGCATCCCTTGCTTGGCTGTCTAGGTATACCCAAATTAATGTTGTGTTTGGCAGAGAGACCAATGTAAGGTTAAAACCAATTAAGCCCCCCAAGTTCTAGATTTAGTTGATCTGGAATCTCTTGAGTTTCTAAATATCCCTTTGGGAAACACCACATTGTGTTCTGGAATAGTAAATAACTCTTTATTAATTGACAACAGAATTGATCCATTCTTAAAAAAGATTTGTTAAGGATAGAAGCAACTGAAATATATAACAATCTAATTAAGAATGCAAGCCCACAAACCTAAGAATTCTGTTTATCATGGCAGAATCATTAAAAAGAAAAATCTAGAGTTCTAATGAGCTCTTTTAAAGTTATCTGTACTATATTTCTAGGGCCTGGTAGCTGATAAAGAGTGTCTTTAGAGAATGTTAAAAAAAAAAAAAAAAGTTCAAATATGTGCTTCTCAGGACGAGGAGAAATGCTTTCTCTGATTAGTTCCTGTTGACTTAAGGGGTTAGTATTTGTAAAGGAAAGGCCAATATTTAACCTAGCAAATGGAATAATCTTTGCATTTTTATTCATATATATAATCTAGAAAGCACTAGCCTTCCTGGAATTTCAGTTAGAATTCTAGATACACCACCAAAAGTTTTTAAACTCCAAATACTCACTGCCATTTCCAACTGTTCTCTGTGTATTGTAGGTTTTAGTTGAACAGATGGTAACACTAATGAGTCCACGCACTGTTTGC